CGACAAGCCTTTGGGCCAGGGCAGGGATCCCGACCATCGACCGGTTTATCCCAGACAGGAGGTGGTGCGTCTTGAACAGCTGGGCCTCCTTCTCCAGCGCTTCCTCATACGTCTCATCCCCAACCCTGTTCCGCACGCAGAAATAGCCAAGGCCGATGCTGACTTTGTTCGATGTCACCATCTTGAAGAGGCCGTCGGGGTCCTTGTCGGCCTTGGTCACAACGGCCAGGGTCCTCTGGCCCGTAGGGTCCACCTTCTGGGACATGCGTATGGAGTCACATAAGTTCAAGTCCAAGCTAGCGGAGAGGACGTTGAGGATGATGCTCTCGTCCTGCTCGATGAAATCCATGACGATACTTGAGATCTGCTCGTAGATGTCGGCAGGCTGGCCGTCGACGGGAACCCGGGTGAATCCGGGGAGGTCGACCATGGTGAGGTCCGGGATGTTGCTCTTCTTCACGACCAGAGTCAGAGGGGTGTTCGACACCCCATAGCCCTCTCCGGCAATCTTCTCGGTGGCGCGGCTGATGGCGTCGGTGACGCTCGCTTCGTCGGTCGGCACAGTCTGGCCACGGAACTCGAGGGAGAGTTCGGGGTTAGGGTTTGGTTGGTTTCGGAGACACATGATGAGCGGGACGCGGGTGCAGGTGCCCTCGCCACGGGGGAGGCTTATGCCGGCGAGGGACTCGAGGACACTAGATTTTCCAGCTGATTGATCTCCAACCACCACGATCGTCGGCAGCTTTATTCCTTCCTGCACAACATTCAGCTTTCGCAGTCGGTCGACCGTGTCGAGAAGCGGCCGGATGCGGTTGTAGGATGAGAAAACAGGGGCGTCGTGGAACACCGGTGGCGGTGGCGACGGTGGCGGAGCCATGTGTTTGTGGGAGTTTTTGTGAAGATCAATTTCCGGTAAAGGTTTGTTACCGGCGAGAATGTGACTGAAACCGTCGGGTGTGTGGGTGAAATTTACTGGTGCGACCTATCTTGAGTCTTTGACTGGATTCTTGGGAAAATATAGATCCTACCCAGGAAATGGCGCGTATGGTGAAACCGCGGACTCTGGATGGGGCGTGCTCTTAGATTTGTTGAGTTAGCGAGTGAAGCAAAACTTTTTCGTTTTCCCTTTCTCATGCAACATTTATTTATGGGGTTCTGGAAAATTAGAATTAGAGAGCAATTTTAAATAAAATATTGATAAATTGTGAAATAATTATACGATAAACTAAGGGACAAACATGTGTATATAATTGACAAAGTGCAAAATAGTTATGCGAGACAGATGAATATAATTTATGCGAAAATCTATGCGGTAGAAAAATAGAGATAATTGATAAAACACGAAACAATTGTACAATAGACTATGCGATAAACAAGCGAAAATAATTGATAAGCTGCGAAATAATTATGCGATAAACTATGTGACAAACATGTGACCATAACTGATAAAGTGTGAAATAATTTTGTGATAAACTATGCGACAAACAGACGAACATAATTGATAAAGTACGAAAATATTATGCTATAAACTAATTGATAAAGTAATAAACAAAGTATGTGATGTGCAAGGAGACAAACAGTCGGAGTTAATTGATAAAGTGCAAAAAATTATGCAATAAACTATGCGACAAAGATAATTGATGAACATATATATCATGAAATAAACTATGTGACAAATAGAGTGCGAAACAATTATTTGATGACTTATGCAACAGACATGCAAAGATAACTGGTAAAGTGCAAAACAAATTTTGTGATAAACAAGGCGACAAACATACGAAGATAATTGATAAAGTGCGAAACATATTATATGTTAAACTATGCGACATACAGAAAAGGGATAATTGATAAAGTGCGAAATATTTAAGCGACAAACTATGCGACAGACTAAGATAATTGTGCGAAACAAATTTTGTGATAAACAAGGTGATATAGCCCTATTGTCTTAACCCGGTTCAGGCGTTAGTTACTCGACTCGACAGACGCTGCCAAGTATATCATCAAGACGATACCTCCAAAGTCGACATGGCCTATCAGTCATATGAGGATCACCACCGGTCTGGGGACGATCAAAAGACGACTTTAGGAAGTCGACTTGGTTTAAGTCGACTTACGCGCTAGAAGGCGAATAAACATTCAGAAGGCCTCAGATATACTAACAGGACCATAAGTCGACTCGACAAGGCTCCGAATCGACTTAGAGTACTTCTGACGACTCACATTTACCTCAATGTCGTAGCAAGGCTTCATGAGCTAGAGAATCTGTATGAGATAAGAAGGAATCTAGGTGCTGACTCAGAGAGTGGGCAGAATGTGAACCGACCAGGGCATTTTGGACACTTTATGTAAGTCGTCCAGGGCATTTCAGGTATTTCCAGTGAGCATTTCTACCCTTATATAAAGGAGTAGAGGTGACTCCAAACCCTAACTATATTCTCCACATTCATTATTCAGCTACTGCTCCTACTGAGCAGAGCTCCTCCTCTCTTCTCTCACTGACTTGAGCGTCGGAGGCTCTTCACCGGAAAACACTTCCGGTGTTGAGTTCTTGCAGGTGTTTACAGCGGTCCACGGGCGACTTGGAGACGATTCGATTAGACCGGAGCTCATTTCCACCGGTTCACTCCAGATCTAGGAGGAGACCCATCAAAT